TCAGGCTCTGCATTCCTGAAAATATCAGCATTCCTTATTTATAAAACCAGGAAAGATTACTATGTAATTCCTAAAATATGATGGCTATCTTTCACTGTACACTGATTACCCACTCAGAAGCCTTTTTATCCCTGACTCCCCTAAATATTCTAACCTGACTCCCCTAAATATTCTAAACTGCAGGTGGCAGTGGTTACCTGGAATGTGCTAAGCAGGAGTCAGGACAGGATATTCTAACACACGAAGCAAAACATAACAAAATACTAACTCCCATGGAAATGGAACCTTGCCAGGAATTGCTGGTAGCTTTGCAAAGCTAAAGAGGCCAGGTGAATATAAATAAGTGTCTATTTTCTCTGGAATGTATGGCTTCTGTAAGATGCAATTATTTTCCTCTGCAGCTTGGGTGAGTAAATGTTCCAGCTGCTAAATGAGACAAGTTATGAGCCAAGAGCAGGTTCTACATGAAAAGAAACAGCAACAATTGTTAGAGAGAAAATATCTAAGATGTGTTCATACACTGCCTAAATACTAATAAGGATCAATCATAAAATCTTTGGTGTTTACTGTGACTCCTATATATTAATCTCTGGTTTACCTGGGTTTATTTTACCTTGGGGCAGGCGTTGCAACTGCTGAATTGCTCTTTTCACTGGTTGGTTGTGAGAATCCCTCTCCTTCAAATTCCTATCCAGTCTGACAAAAAAATGAAGAAAACCCCTGGATTCAGCTGAGATCTCCTGTTTGAAATACCAACCACAGTGCTCAGAGCAAACTGGCTTTTGATCCTAGACTGGAAGAAGGCTGAGCGAGCTCGGCTGCCTCAGTTCCCTACAATAATAACATTTCTCAGGAGGGCTTTGAAACCTGGAGGGCAAACCATTGTTCGTGACCTGCAGGATGGTGTTGCTCTTCCACGGAATATATTACTCTTTGTTCCCCTTTGCCCAGCCCCAGTGGCCACCCCAGGCTCTGAGCCCTGCCCAGGGGACAGCTCCTGTCTCCCGCGATGGACGGACGCACAGACAGATGGTTTGCAGCAGGCTTGAAGTGTTTCCTCAGACAGATGCTCTGTTCCAGGAGAACAATGTGGTCTCTGGATGAAAGGAAGGGTGTCCTTCGTGGTGTTTACACACAGAGGTGGCGAGGTGCTCAGCCAAGGCTG